TGATGAGTGTGGTTCACTCATTGTTTTAATACCTATTAAGCTCGTTATTTTGATTGTCTTCAAAAGTTTTTAGAACATTTTAATGTGTATTTTAATGTTGTTTTATAGGTTAGGTGAGTTAGTGTGAATGATGCAAAACTTGGAGAAAAGAGTGATGTTGGCATGAATCAAGGAGAAGTTGATATTGATTTAGTGAAACTCGATGATTGCATGCTAAATTGAAAGAAAGAAGTGAATAACAACAAAAAAAAAGGTAAAATTCAAAGTTCGAGGACTCAATCGTCACTTTTTAATAGTTGATTCAAACTACGAAACGATAATTAAAGATTCCTAGGAGTCAATTAGATGCAATCAGAAGTAAAAAATGAGCGAAATAGTTCACAAATCAATTTTCAATCACACAAATATGTTCCAGATTTTTAGCAAGAAATTGAGATCAATTTTTGACATGGTAAACGTTCGAATTGAAAAAGAGCTACTCCAGTAACATTGTAGCCATTTGAGTTGTCTTTCAGAAACACATTGAATCATCTCAATTAGACATTAAGAGAAAAAATTATGATAAAAATATTGAACGACCTGCAGTGCTGAATTTTTCCTGAAAGTGGGTACTCAGCGCCCTTGATCTGATTTTTTCCAGAATGTTAGCGCTCAGGCACCACAACATGGCACCTAGGCACTGAACGACGTTATAATGGCGATTTTGATGAGTTTTGATCCATTTAAAAATCCCAATTCAACTAGAACTCGTCCAAGACTTCAAGAAGGCATAAATACCAATTTAATCACCACTTTTCAATGACAATTCAAAAGAGCAAGAGGCAAGAAACAAAGCAAGAAAGCAAGATCAACAACATGAAGAAGATCGAATCTTTACAAAAATAGTTTGTCTCTTTTCTCCTCAATGTTGTTCTATATAAATTTGATAGTTTCCGTGTCTTCCGTCAAGAACTAAATAGTTTATCTTAGGTTTCATGTAACCAAAACTTGAGATCATGTTTTGATATTAATTAGTTATTTTTATGATATTTTCCATTCAGTTTATTTGTGTTGTTGATTTTAATGCTTTCAATTACTTTGCCATAATTGAATGAATCCATTGTCTAAGTTTCAACACTTCAGAGAGGGAATCTTAGATAAAATCATAGAATAACACAACTTAGACTTTATAGGTTTCGAGAGAATAAAATCTTTGATTCCACTTAAGAATCAAGAACTTATAATTTTTAGAAATTTAATTTGGAATAGAGATATTGGAATTGAATTCTATGAATAGTATTTTCTCGGCACTTGGGAGAGGGAGTAGAATTTCATTAGGGTTGTTGTTTATAAATTTGGAAAAATTGAATGGAGAAAACTATATAATTGAGAAACATGGTTGATAGTTAGATTAAATCATAACCCCAGGCTTTCTTATACTGATAATTCTTCAAACTTGCATAAAACCGTTGGATTCGTTATCATATTCAACGTAGAATTAGTTAAAACCATTGATAATAAAATTCGATTGTGTAGATAAAATAGAGGATACACAATTATAGTACTGAATATTAATTTAATATCCAATTCCTGTGGGTTTAATACAAGGGATGCAGAATATAATTAAAAATTATTTATTTTCTTCATCCTAAGGACCATTAAAAACTATCACAGACGGTCTTTCCTTGTGAGATGCTTATTTTCTTCCCATAATGTGATATCAAATTTATCAGTTGTTTTCATCTGCAGAAGGGATGATTATTTGTTTTCCGAATTCCGAAGTGTTGTGCTTATTGAAAGAAAAAGGGTGAGGAATGTGCAAATATTGAATAATAGACTAATTGGGGTGACGTAATTGAAAAAAATAAGAAAGTAGAGTGATTAAGTTGGGACGAAATAAAGTTCGATAACCAACATTAAAAGAAGTGTTGGTAGAGGCAATTACACCCAACTAAGCACTTTATATTTTGGAAAGCTACCCTCCTAGTGTTTTCTAAAGAAATAAAATACTAAAAAACGTGAATATGTATTTTTAATTTCAAATGCTTGCTTCTTCCTGTCAGGCAGCATAGGTATTTTATCCTTCTCTTTTTTTTTTTCCCCTTCTGAATTATGCATTTAAATTTCTTGTCCATAATTGTTGTACTGTAATACTCGAAGAATATGTGAAGTCACTTGACAGTTGACATCAACATTTTCTTAATGGTCTAGCCCATTAAAAACTGCCGATTGTGCTGGCAATTGAGTCACTTGACAAATCTAGTGTGGATCAACCTTGGCTAGTTGTTATAAAGAGTAATTACTCAGTCAAGTCGTTTCATTTCAAAAAAGAACAGGAAACTGATCAGGCTAAACATATTAGTAATGTTATTCAATATGACTGCCTTTTAGGCTTATTCTATAACACCAATTACATCAACTTTTGATACATCCATACCAACTGTATACGTCTTCATAATCCCATGAATCTCTTATTTCGGTATATTATGCTCCCCATGATTGTTTAGCTGTAGTCACAAATCAAAGATCAGAACAGCAAACAATGTGCTCGATAAGTGTACAAAAAAATAAGCTTCTCGCAGTTAATTTCATGATGGCATGTTAGGTACATGTTTATTAAAAGATCGAGATACTGACCTTGTTGAGAGAGAGCCCAATTGTTATCAACTCCAACATGCCATGCAAAGTAACCGAGCAATCCTTTTTGCTTAGCATACGAAACCTTGGCGGCAATGGTTTGAGTATCATCAAATCCTATCCATGTAGTTCCAGCATAGCAGTAATTGGTTACAATAGTTGAATTGTAAACAGTTACGGCTTTGTTTTGTGCAATAAAGTTCTTGATTTGTCTGTAACCCATGGCCCCATTATCAGCACTTGCAGGGCCATTCGCTGGTGCCAATAGGCCGTGGTTGTTGGCATTCACCAAACGCCACGCGTACCCATAAAATGGCATGCCAAGAACCAGTTTTGTCGCTCTTACGCCAGCCTGAGTCCAA